CCTGGATATTTGTTTGTGTCTAGGATCTTGAAAGAAGTTTGCAAAGTAGCATCCACTTTAAAGTATCTCCTTTAGAATTTACTTGAAGTAAGGGGTATAAAGTCAGTGTTCAAAAGAGACAGACAGTGTGAGTAGGATTAATTCACTCATTCAGTCCCATATCCAGTCCCTAGTAAGCATTCAATGCCAGCTGTGGTCCAGATAGGTACAAATATCAGTGTTGTAGTTTATTTGTTTCTTTATTCAATTGTTGTAACATTGGTTTACATCAGTGTCAATATGTGCAGGTTTTAGGGTACAATGTTACCACCCTATGCCTCCCACCCAGCTAACCACATCCTTCTACCACATCCTTCCACCACAGCCTACAGGACCCTTTCAATTTTTAATTTAGTTTCAGAGGACTTGGGTGCCTCACTCTCTCTTGAGGTCCTGTCACCATAGATAGTCAAGCATTCAAACTTGCTCTGGCCAGCTGGAAGATAAAGGACCATGTGAAGGAGAGCTGAGATATAATATCCAACAGTCAGAAAACATTTCAGCATGTAAATGAGTCCAATTTAAACCAGCCAGACATCTCAGCAGCTGCCCGCAGATGTATAAGAGAATCCACTCTTCATTTTCTGAGTCTAGTCAGAAAATGTCCTAGAAGAGCAAAACCATGTATCCGGTCCATAGTCTTAGAAAAAGTATAGTTCCCTGGCTAACGGTCTGATAATATGACCCTTGTCTTTTCAACGTTCTGTTCCAAAATCTATCCATCCCATTTCAAAAATATCCTCTCCCAGGATTTTGCTTGATAACTACAGCAAGAAGTCAATTGAATCCTCTGAGATCCTATGGCCTTACTTTGTGCTTTTCTATATTTATCAGAACAGACTGTGCAATACCACACTAACAAATCTCATCGACTGCATATAAACAAGATTTATCTCTTGTTATCAGACCTAGCTGATGTGAGTTACGAGTAAGTACTGCTTCTCGTGTTCACCGAGGATTCACAGTGAAGCTAGTGGGTCATTATCCAAGACTAAAGCTTCAGAGAGTGCTTGGATTGCTCTAGCCTACTCTTCACACTTCTATTTATGGTCCATTGTCCAGGCCCGAACAATAGGCCTCATTTAACTGCAAGAAAACTGAGATGTTAGGGAGAACATGGGCACGATGCTTATGTCTCTGCTAGACCTCCTCCTCGTGCTGTGGTTGGATGTCTGTATTTATGTGGCTTGCTTTCTTTTACCAGATGTGGTACATGCAGGACACTCATTCTATGTAGGGGTTTCATGCTTGGTTTGATGATCTACTGTCACCATTATTAAGATCTTGATAGCCTTAACAATATTTTATCTAGTGCCCTCCCATTTTTATCTTTACCTTGGCCCCCACAAATTATGCCATTGGTTTTATGCATATCTAAAACCCAATAGTTCTCAAACTAAGGTATTGAATGAAATGGCCAGAGAAATGACAAAAAAAAAATTACAGGAACCCAGGTGAGTCCCATCTGAGAAAATTTAAAGTAAACATTGAGAATGAAGCACTGAGAAAGGTATTAAATAAATAAATAAATAAATAAATAAATAAAAACCCTCTGACATCTCTGGGTATGCACAACCCTACCAATAGTACCAGGAGCACAATCCCGGAAACAATAATTAAAATAAAAACAAACAAAATTTCCCAGTGACCTAACTTGCATCCAGGATTATTCTCACTGTCTTAAAGTCTTGACCAAGATAAGCTCCTTTGATTTTTTTTCTGAAAATGTGGTATGAAATAAAAAATAGAATAAAAGAAAAAGAACTGGTTTTCTGGAGTTTCAGGAGTGTCGATGCCATGAAAATAAAGAATTGAGGTGCTATTTTAGATTGCAGAAGTCTAAAGAAACAAGACAAACACAGACAACACTTGACTCTGAACTGAAACTTTCACAAAATACTGGACCTCAATTGACAACAGACATTGTCACAACATAGGTAAAGAGGGACAGACAAGGAAGTTCACTGTAGCTTTGCTTCTTGTAGCAAAGAATAAAAGTAAAAAGTAAAAAGTAAAAGGCCCTCCCGTTGATCGTCGATTTGCTCGAGCGGGCCCAGTAACGTCTCCATTGGAGACTTCCTTGTTACTGTGTCTGGCATATCGAATACTCTCGGTAGCTTGCCGGGCTCTCCGAGAGGGGCGGAGGAATCGAACTCGGGTCGGCCATGTTGGCCGCTTGTAAGGCGAACGCCCTACCCGCTGTGCTATCGCAAAGAATAACAATAGAATTTTAATATTCGCCAAAGGGGTGTGGAGTAAATTATGACACACCTGGTGCATAAAATTGAGGAAATCCATATGCAACGACCTAGAAAATATCTCTGACAAGATATGGAAAAAAATGCTTTTGAGACTAATATGTACACCATAGTATCATTTCTAATACAAGTATCACATATACATATAAATGGGAGTAAGAACAAATTTACTTCTAAGAAGAAAAGAACTCAGGCTTTTAGTTTCTGTGTACTATTCTGATTTATTTTTCACTGGTTAAAAGTATTAGTCAGGTAATAGGTTTGCATACAAGATTAACAGTTGGCCTTCTTCTGGCTATAGTACTTTAGCCAGTCAATAATCCTTTGTGACTATCTTTAAATAGAGCTTTTAATTTTTAGGGAACTGCCCATCTGAGTCTTCTTGAGTAAAACATCATGAAACATAATGGAAAAAGCTAACTTAGTAAATAAGCTCAAGTCTTTTCGGAAAACCTGGACTAAAAGGAATAAAGTATCAGCAAGTAACTTACATCTAAGCAAAGAATCAATGTTCTTAATTTCAAGGAATTCAGAACTGCCAGTGCACTAATTACATGCATTGAATTCCTCCAAATGCAGATCTATTGCATGTTTGTGTGTCTCTTTAAGCACAAAATAGAGAAATTGGGGGGGGATGGGGAACACTGCAGTTAAACTGTTTTCCTCCCTCTCTCCACAAACAATAATTTGGGCGCTATAAGGATTTGCAAAACAAACACCAAGCTGCATAGGGCTTTGTGTTTTGAAACTCCAAGCATGAAAATCCAGTTAAGCAACTCTCTTTCTGCCTGCAGAGATAAACATGTTCTAAGTACCCTATATAAGTAGTCAAATCATGGAAGAAAATTACCCCAAACTCTTTTCTTTATTTGTCCCCAATTAAAGTTCCTTGTGAAAGATTTATAATCCCCATCTAAACAGGGCTTCTGAAATGTGTAACTTGACATAAATAGCCAGCTTTAATGCTTTAAAGGACAAGAAGGGTCAATTCCATATATCTAAACTGAAGGGAAAATGAGATCCACATTCAGAGCTTGGCCAAGATACATCTTATGAAGAAGTTGTGGCAGCTATCTTCCTCGGCATGTACTTCCTCGGCATCTATTTCTTCTAATAGATGGGATTTCTGTATTTCCTCATGGAAAATTGCTTCTTCTCCGAGGGGAACCAATTCCATGAGATTATGACAAAGAGGCAAGGAAAAGGTCAGGAAACTTTTCTATCTTTACACAAGTAAGCAAGGGGTTGAGCATTGACCTAAGTTCTGCCAGGCTGGTGTTCTATGGGTTAGAAGCTCTCGGAAGCAATAGGCTTTTAGTACAAAGCTGGGTGCTCTACCAAGTCTAGTAGTTTTAGACCTTGGGGCTCTGTAAACTACTGTTGTCCATTATCAAGGCTTCCATCTGCTTTTGCCACATTTTCAGGCACAGCCAGCAGATGTGCTTCACCTTGACAGCTGCAGTTCATTCTAATAATATCTGGTTCCTTCTTAGCTTTGGGATTTTCCCCCTGTTTTAAAATATAACATTTATTGCTTATATGTTTTGACACAAAACAAGCTTCCTTCTCCTTTGAATCATAGAAGTATTATACAGCTGGAATAAGAGTTCCAAAACCTAAGGCGTGGAAGAAACTCATACAACTTCAGCCTTCCTCCCCGTTAGAAAAATTTAAATTCTACAGTTACTATTGTTTCTGCATTAATGCCTGGGCTGAAAATCTAGAAGATACTTCCTTATTAAGAGAAGAACGTGAGGAGAGTAAAGAACTGAACAGAGGAGCTGGAGAGACAGTACTGTGGATCCTATCTTGTACTATCTTCTATTATTCATGTGCAAGATACTTAAGGATATTTATGAAAGAAATGAAAACTGAAAAAAGACAAAATGGAAGTTCTTTTTAAAGTTTAATTTTATTCTATTTTTATAAAGTTGTTCACATTGATTTATTACATTCAATATTCTAACACTAATGCTACCACCATTACACCTTGCCACCACAAATATTTCAAATTTTCCCAACAACCACCCCAGCCTGCCCCAATAACAGGCCCTAAACAATTCATTTTATATTGCTTCTTATGAACAATTTTCTAAAAATTATTTTAAAAATTCCTTAGAAGAAAGTGTTTAAAGATTGTTGCATTTCATGTTGGATTCATTAAGCCCTTGTATAGGAGATTGCTAACATGCTTTTACAAGTTAAGCCTAGTGTGTTTTTTAATATTTTCTTAATTGAGATTGGTTGCCTTCTACTTTACGTCCCACCTAATGTAGTGTGCTGCTCCTGGTACATGAGAGGTATAGAGTTTGAGAATTGAGAATGGTGTAGAGTGGTGTAGAGTGTGGTGTAGAATGGTCCAGGAATTCTAAAATTTTGAATGGGGTGATACAGCTGGAATTAAATTTTTAACTGGAAGGTGACTTTGGGGTCTGGAAGCATCTCTGCAGTTTGTTAATCTCTTTGAGATTTATTTACGTCTCTGAACCATGGCTGGTGATTGAGCTTATATGGCACCAGAGGCAGTTCATGGGTGTGACTTCCAAGCACCCACAAGAACAGGGATATGAGGGGAGGTGGCCCATCCCCAACTGCATGAGAGCCTGGAGATTTCAGTCACAAAACCTGAGTTTTTCAACAGATTCATTATTGGATAAAGCTCATCCTGAGCCTGTGAGGTGCAGTCATGAACGAGCAATTGGAATGTCGAGATTTTTGGCTGCCAGGCCTATGTTTTGGTAGGTGATGGGCTCACTCACCACCCCCTCCAAAGTGCTCCAAATATGAACTCATCTTGTTGCGGAATCTGGAGGCACATCTGCAACTTGTTGATCTCTTTTGAGATTTACTTATGAGTATCTCCAAAATGGAAGTTCTTAAAAGAAAATTTTTGTTTGGGTTTTTGGTGCTAGTGTTTGGGTAATACCCAGCTGTGTTCAGGGTTTATGCCCGGCTCTGTGCTCTGGGATCATTCCTGCGGTGCTGGTGAACCATGTGGAGTGTTAGGGATGGAATCCAGGCTGGCCGCATGCAAGGCAAGCACCCTGCTGTACTATCTCTCGAGTTCCTCTTTTCACAAATTTTAAATGACAGTTTAGTAAAAACGGTGAAAACAGTGTTATAGTATTGATGTACAAAGTCACCACACATCACACTCTCTACAGTGCCCAAGACCTGCCATTGTTGGGTTCAGGAGTCCCCTGGCCCTGGGAGGCGCGGAGAGACCAGACAGACACAATTCCTGCAGGAGTACAAATGGGGTTTATTTAGACCGGCATGGTGGGGCTCCCCAACATACCTCAGAGTGGGCAGTGACTGAGAGCCCTGCTTCTTCAAAGGGGGTCTTATATAGGCCTTCACTGGCTGTTACAGCAAAGCCCGCACATTTCATAGCCAATAGATTTGTAACAACATATACTTTCTTAACCAATCCATTTAAAAGTACATCACTCCTTAGCCTATAGATTCAAAGATCAGCTTTTACGTACAAGGATTGTCAGCACAAGCAAGGTTATAGCCGGAATCATTAAGCCTTAGGTAATCTCCCCGACCAGCCGCATTTTGAGTTATCCATTACCCAAGACGTCTGCAGGGTGCTTTAGTGAGACAATACATTCGAGGAATGGGCAATTTCCCCCAACTACCCGCATTCTGAGTTATCCTTTACCCAAGAGGTCTGCAGCAGTCTTTGCTGAGACAATACATTCCAGGAACGATAAATACACCTGAATCCTGCCATACTTGGTTTCACAAGAAGTTATGCCCTGTTCACATTCCAAGTCCCCCCTCGCACCCCCAGGTGCAAAGCAGCCAAGCAGTTTTACAGAAAGCAATGTTGCAAGTTAGCTGAAGCACGCAAAAATTTGATGCCCTAATATGGATTCTTTCACCATCCCTGCCTTTGTCACCTCTGGCCTAAGTTCCTATCCCCCCCATTTACTATTGACGGTTATGATTTGTGTGCAGACTGTCGCCCCTCTAAATACCACTCACATGTCCTAGACCCTCCACCTATGATGTCAATGGTGTTTAAGCAGCTGTCAGAGAGCTGAATTGAGAAAAGAAAACTTGTGTTCTTTTCTTGACTACTCCATTAATTTTCGTTATTTGATTGAACATGCTACAAAACCACAAAGAGCCCCATTTTACGTTCTGTAATATAAAGATTTAAAAAAATAGCTCTTTTGACTTCACAAAGTTATTTTAGCTATCACATGCATTCATTGAACTAATATATGGACTGAGCTCTATTTTAGGAGTAGGGAACAGCAGTGAACAAAACAAAAGCCTCACCCTCTTAAAGCTAAAATGTTAGTAGGGGCAGTGCCAAAATAGACTTATAAATAAATAGGGCATTTCTGAAAGCAACTGATATTACAGTGAAATAAACTGTTTTGATGGTGTGACTGGTTCCACTAGGTAGACAGCTCAGGGAACGTGCTCTGAGTAGCTCACACTTCAGCTGAGTCAGGAGGTGGTGAGAAGGAATAAATATGTAACATCAATCCCTACTCATAAATTTGTTCTGTGAATTAAGTGAGATAATACCTGCAATCCTTCGAAAGGAATGGCCAATAAATGTTAGCAAGTGCTATTAGCTACAGACATTGACATTCAACTAAGGAAATATAAAGCAATCAATCAATGGTGACCATAATTATCATTTGTGGTTAAGTAATCATTATAAAACAACATACTTCATTCAATTCTTTTTTATATTTTACTGTATAACATTTATTTATTTCATCTAACTGTCATAGTATTATAGGTCAATTCTTCGATTTGTCGATTGCCTTGAGCAGGCCCCAGTAACGTCTCTTTCATCCTAGCCCTGAGATTATATTCAAGGCTCTTTAGGAGAATGAGACCCATCATCATTACTGGTATTTGGCATATTTGGTATGCCACGGGGAGTTTGCCAGACTCTGCCCTGTGGGCAGGCTACATTCGATGGCCTGCAAGTTTGTCCAAAGTAGGAATGAGATAATAAGATGTCATAAAAAGAAGTCCTGATAAGATGTCACGCAGCCGTGGCCGCGCGGTTCCGGGAGCTGGATTTTATAGTCTCTGAGTCTTGGCCGCTGATGGGATTACATGGCGCCAGGGGGCCAGGTGGTGGGTGTGACCCCCGCCTACTGGAATTTGGAGGATCTGGGTGGAGGATGCTCAACTCCAATCCGAGTAGGCTTGGAGATCTCGGCCCCGGAACCCGCGTGGCTTTGTCCCTCTGCCAGTACCTTCGTGTGTGCGGAGAGTGGTCTCAGCATGGTGGTGGCTGGTCCTGGAGGTCTTCGGCTGCTGGAGCCCTGGTCGGGGCGGGGAAGGAAAGCTCAAGGACAACCCGTACTTCGACAGCTACCAGTGGGCGCAGCTGTTGGCACTGCTGTCGCAGGGCTTCGCGGGCCTGTCCCCGCTGCCCTGCCGGGCCAGCAGCCGCGACGTGGCGGTGCAGGTAAACCCACACTGCCACGCCTGGGTGCAGTGCTCGCTGGGGCGAGAAAGAGGCTGCAGTCCCGGGAGCATGGGTCCCCGTGGCGGTGCCCACCAGCTGTGAATGGCCGGTGGACGCGCCAGGGCCGCAGCCGCAGCCGCAGGAGGCCCAACGGGACGTGGCTCCCCCGCGGACGCACCCACGAGTCCGGAACCGCCCCCGGCGCAGGGGAAGGACAAAGAAGCCTCAGGCGAGGAGACGGACCACCGGAACCTCACGTCTGCGCTTCCAGTTCTTAGAGCAGAAATATGGCTTCTACCACTGCAAGGACTGTAACATCCGATGGGAAAGCGCCTATGTGTGGTGTGTGCAGGGCACGAATAAGGTTTACTTCAAGCAGCTTTGCAGAAATTGTCAGAAGTCTTACAATCCTTACCGGGTGGAGGATATCACCTGTCAAAGCTGTAAAAAGATGATCTGTTCCTGCTCCATCAGGGTTCCCACACTGACCCCAAAAGGTCTCATCGCCAAGATCTGTGTGGCAGATGCAAAGGCAAACGCCTGTCTTGCGACAGCACGTTCAGCTTCAAATATATCGTTTAAGGGAAAGGGCACCTCGGGCAGGGGGCTGGTACCTGGGAGCTGACCAGCAGCTGGGTCCCCTCTCCTTCCTGTGGCCCAGTTCCCGGGGAAGCCTGGAGTTTTGACAGCCTTTGAATAAAGGTATTGCAAAAACAAAAAAATATATAGGTCAATGGGAAATAATTTTAAGCAAAAAAATTGTATTGCAACTAATTACTTATCATAAAAATGAAAGAAAGGAAAAAGAAATAAAAGAAAGAAGAAAAGGAAGGATGGAAGAAAGGAAGAAAGAAGAAAAAAGAAAGAGAAAGAAAGAAAGAAGAAGAGGAGGAGGAGGAGGAGGAAGGAAGGAAGGAAGGAAGGAAGGAAGGAAGGAAGGAAGGAAGGAAGGAAGGAAGGAGGAAGAAGAGAAAGAGGAGAGAAGAGGACAAGGAAGACGAAGTGGAAGAAGGAAGCAGAAGCAGAAGCAAAAGAAGCATAAGCAGCAGCAGCAGAAGAGGAAGAAGAAGGAGGAGGAGAAGGAGGAGAAGGAGGAGGAGGAGGAGGAGGAGGAGGAAGAGAAAGAGCTGAAGAAGGAGGAGGAGGAGGAGGAGGTGTGCAAGAGCAAGAGCAGAAGCAGAAGCAGAAGAAAATAATTCAGATATTAGAATAGATGGAATCACAAGTGTTCAAGAAAGTCCTCAAATACATCAGAACGTCCATCCCCAACCAATGATGATTTCAGAGCCTCAATCCTCTTACTATCCAAAGGAATCACTGAACAAGAGACTCGATAACTGCAAGAAAGATTGACAGAAGAAATGAAAGAAGTCATTCAACCAGAGATAAGGAAGGTATAGTGTTGCGGAACTCAGTGTCAGCTTGGAAAAAGCCAAAAATGAAAGCAATGATTGATTTCAAAGACAGGGTGCATGGCATCATTGATAAAAAAGAAGTCATTTAAAAGGGGTTTTAAAGAATGATGAAAATTTGTGTTATTGAATAAACATCCCCTGAATTATAGAAAATCTAGAAGGAGAGGAAAGGGAAAAATGTCTAGTAGATGAGAGCTGAGAAATTCCAAGGCTGAGGAGGATACTGCGGCACTGATCTGAGGACTAGAGATTGGCAAATTGCACAGACTGAAACTGAATAACACCTAAGTACACAGTAATCAAATCTGTAATAAAAGATCTTGAGGGAGAACTTTCTAATCAAACAGGCCCATAGTGGGGGAGCAAGTTCTGTGCTTTTAACAACAGAAAAAGGGTGAGGGCAGGGGAATGGGGTCAGATTAACTCTGGAACAGAGAAAAAAATATTCCTGACTTCTCTCATCTGGGGAGGAGCGATAGCACAGCGGGTAGGGCGTTCGCCTTACACGCGGCCAACATGGCCGACCCGAGTTCGATTCCTCCGCCCCTCTCGGAGAGCCCAGCAAGCTACCGAGAGTATTGGATATGCCAGACACAGTAACAACAAAGTCTCCAATGGAGACGTTACTGGGCCCGCTCGAGCAAATCGACGATCAACAGGAGGGCCTTTACCTTTACCTCTCTCATCTACTGGGACATGCTTTGAACAATGCCCCAAACCTACAGTTCCATTCTCCTCACCAGCTGATTTTCTTAATTTCAAAATTTTATTCTATAATCTCGTATCATTTTTGATGATCAATGACTTTCTCATACTTCTTCCTTAAATGTAATATGTTCTTCCTCACTCTTTGACATGTTTCTCATAAAGAGATTCTGGAGACTGTCCTTTTTTTTTATTTCATCACAACTCATGTTTCATGGGCCAAAGATGGAAGCAGAGCGGAGGTACAGCAGAGCTTTGAGATCAGGTCTGTGTCTTATCGTTCTCATCAGTGCATATGAACCAAGGCAACTTCATTAGTCTCTTGAAGACTCGTAGTTTTCAACTATAAAACAGACTTTAAAATACATATCTACAGGATTGTTGTTAGGAATCTGAGACTGGGTATATACAGTGCATAGAGCTTAGCACGGGGAAAGTAGTCCATGAATGCTGAGTAGGGAAGACCCTTCACAGAATGATTTCCTTCTCTCCAGATTCTGATTACTTTTCTTCCTGTTCTTTTAAGACACAAGCCAAGTGTCATTGTCTACAGGTTGCCTTCCCTTATATTTTCAGGCTGAGTTATGGGACTGCATTATTTTATGGCTTACTGCTTGCCACAACTCATTGAAAAGTCCTCTTTCTGTGTTTATCCCTCTATTATATTAGCTTCTTCATAATAAGTGATGTCTGCCATTCATCTTTGCACCCAAGCATAAAGCCTAAATATTTGCACATAATTAATTCTCATATCTTTTGTTGGTTTGTGTGCAGGCCACATCCAGCAGTGTTCTGAGCTTATTCCTTGCTCTGTGCTCAGGGATCACTCCTGGCAAGACTCAGGGGACCATAGATGGTGCAGGGGATCCAACCTGGTTTGATACAGGGGATTCAACCTGGCTCCCCAAATTCCCAATTCTTAATAAATCCAACTGTATGTTCACCAGACATGGACTAATATTCTCTTGCTAGAATATGGCAGTAGCTGAATGGAGAAAGCATCCCTGGCTGGGAGTTTGATAAAGAAAGAAGGACCAGAGAGGTAGTACAGCAAGTAAGGCAAGTAAGTACAGCAAATGAAACAAGTAAGCTTGGCATGCTGCTGACTTAGGTTTGATCCCAAGCATCACAGTCTCCTGAGAATTCCCTGCAGTGATCCTTGAGCGAAATGCTAGGGATAAGCCCTCAAAACCTGGTGCACCCTGCACCCATCTCCAACACACACACACACACACACACACACACACACACACACACACACACAGAAGTAGAGAGAGAAACAGAGAGAGAGAGAGAGAGAGAGGAAAGAAAGCAACCATCCAGGCAAAACATGGATTTAATCTGTTACTTGCAACTGAAGGCACGCACATACAATAAGCATATCTTTTCCTGAATTGCATAGCGTTAACCCTTTGTGTTAACCCACAGGAGTCATCCTGAGATGGCTCAATGCTTGCTTGTGTATTCACTGAAGGAAAAGATGAAATACCTTAAAAGAGGAAATTGAAAAGGATGAATTCACCCCATCTCCAAAGAACGTGTAAAATTTGACTTTACAAAGTCATCCAGAAAGCAATTAAATGTCATTAGTGTGTTAGCCCTCCCTGAAATGAGATTTCAAACGACTTTCTCAAGTATCTGTTCACTGTGCACAACCAAAATAGTGCCCGCTCTAATGGAGAAGGTGGTACCTCTTGGGAGGGATATTATTTTAGCTCTCAGATCTCAGAGTATAGCAGCAGGTCTAATCTGTCACAGGATTCAATTCACAGTTGATAGTTGCAGAGAAATCTGGGGAGTGGGACCCTCTGCAGCTGGCGCCTCTGTGTCTGTTTGCAGAGATAAGAGCCCAGAAACTTCAAAACCACATCAGGCATGAGAACTGCATCAGGCTGCTAATAAGGGAAAATGGTCAGATTTTTTTTTCACCCAAACATAATGGAAGTGTATAGAAAAGCAAAAGATGGAAATCTCAACCCATTGTTGGGAAACAGCGTGTTCGGCTCTGAAAAAAATACTTCTTTCCCCCCATTCACTGCATCACTGTCATCCTGTTGTTCATAGATTTCCTCAGAAGGCACCAGTAATGTCTCCTTCATCCTAACCCTGAGATTTTAGAAAGTGCCACATTCGAGGCTCTTTCAGGGTCAGGAGAATGAGATCCGTCATTGTTACTGGTTTTGACATACTGAATACGTCATGGGGAGTTTGCCAGACTCTGCTGTGCGGGCAGGATAGTTTAGGTAGCCTGCCAGGTTCTCTAGAGTAAGAACTAGATAATAAGATGTCGCACGACCCCCGGGCCCCCGCACACCTGGGTTCCTCTGCCAGTTCTTTCACGCATGAGGCATGTCCGAACATATGGAAAGTGGTCTTAAGCATGGCTGTGACTGGAACCGGAGGTTTTCAGCTGCTGGGGCTCTGCTCTGGGCAGGGAGGGAAACTCAACCCGACCTCCTCCAAGGGGCAGCAGTGAGGCAGTCTCCTGCCTCCAAGCCTGGCTGTCCCCCATTCATTCCCAAAGCTGAAAAATCAGACAAATGTCGCACTGCCTACTATGAGGCTGGTACATTCTCCTGTCCTTCCCTGAAGAAGAGAATATACAGAAACATATGTTCAGTTTTCTTTACCTGACCTGAGAACCGTGTCTGCAATAATTGAACTGCAATCATCAAATGTGGCTCACAAATTGATTCTGCCTATCAGTAAAAAGCTCATTTAAATAAAATGATTGATGCCAACTCATGACAAAGACACTATTTTCTTTATTCCCCAACAAATAAATCTGTCCTCATTGTTAATGTCAGAAATTGGAGGCCAGGGGATGGAAGAATGGCAAAGAATAGTAAAAAGAAATCAAGACATAAACACAGAGTCTATTATCAGAGAACACACTATTTGACATTCTGCTCCAGCCCACAGTGGAACCAACACTTGGTTCCACACACATTTAGAAAAGAATATGCAAAATCTCACCTCTCAGATCACCCTTCTCTGGCCAGACTATCTCAGAGTTCTAGGAACCCCTTGTCATACTCTTAGGGCAATCTTTAAAAAACCAACCCCAAATGAGATAAATGCTCCCCCTTGAGGAATTATCTTACTATATGGGGGGGCGGGCAGGAAGGCTGGTAGAGTTGGGGTTGCCCTAATGTAAGTGAACAGATTCAACTTATTGTTAATTTATATTTAACTCTTCATCAAGATGCAGAGTTGTGATGTTGTGATTCAAACAGGAAACCCCTTTAGAACTACTAGAAAATAAATAGGTCAAGCCCATTTATTAGTGTTCATTTGTGTGGAACCAGGTTCCAAAGGTAAATTGTTTTTCCCAACTGCTCTCAGCAACTCCATGCCTGCCTCCCTAGAGAAATCACAAAATCTGTGGTTCTGCAGTCACTGGCATCTAATGGACTTGGGAGAAAATGGACTTTGGAGAAAATACTCTCACTCCTTGTATAC